TAGGTGTCTGCATATAAATCACATAAATTCTTACATAACCTGAGGAGAATCTCAAAATTTTTCCAAATAAACTTTAACTTAATTAATATGGACTTTAAGCTTATTAAACGAGGAAGTTTTTATAAAAGTGGGGTACAACTGTACAGTTGAAAAATAATTTTAAAAATAACAAATAATTTATGATTTTTTTAAACAGAACTTAGCTGTTTGTTCGCTCAATAGTCATATCAAAATAATTTTAACAATGGAAAGCTCTACTTACGTTTAAAGTAAAGTTTATCTGCTTTACAATGAAGCAATTTCGAATCACTTAAATGAAATATTCCTTTAGTTATCGCTTCATATTAAACAAAAAGCAGCACATACTTAAAAAAAAAACTCAAAACTTATATTTTTTACGTTTTTGCTGGAAATCGGGCAATTGTTTATATAAACTTCTTTGTAGCTCTCAAAGTTTGCTATCACCCCTATAAAAAATTCCCTTTACTTATGAGACACCCTATATAAAAAAAAAAGTTTTTTTATATTATTAGTTATAAAATATTGAAAAATAATAAACCAAAAATATTTAAATACCGCGATATATTTACTAATATTGCTTTGATTTCAATATAATTCTTTTTTTTTTTTTTTTATTAAGAAATTTAAATACCATTGAAACTCCAGATTATAAAAAAACAACAAAAAGCGAATATTTTTCGAGTTATTTATAAAATCTAATTTTATCATCCCTTGTAACTTTTTCTCCAATTTCTTTACGACAAAGTATGTTAAAAAAATAAATTTAAAAGGCTTCGAAATAATGCAAAACCAATTAAGGTAAAACCAAGTACTTGATTTCAGACCAAGTTCCGAGATTAAAAGGTACCAATCTTTCTTTTGGGTCCTACAAGTTTGAGTTTGTCTATCACTGGTAATCAGTAAGAACGTTGCTGCAGTGGAGAATGGGAGGAGTTAAAAAGGCCTTTACTGACTGGTCGACGTACACCCTTTTTTCTATTCGTCGCTTGAATGCGTTTGCTGTTTTCACATGTTCTGACATGCTCAAGACATGATCGAACCATAGTGGAAGACAAGTTGCTCAGCCGATCCCAGATCCGGGTTGGACTTTATCCAATGGAATAATTAAGGTAAGTTACATATCGAAGGTAACATTGAAAAGGACGCCCCCTCTCCTATACAGTTCACAGATATTTTCCCACGGATACGGGACATTTCACATTGGAAATAGTAAAAAATAGTGAGCTCTCGTTCCCAGATAGTAGAGATGGGCAAAGGCAACTCTGAGTACCAAAAACCTAATATTTTACTCAAATTGAATGACTTCAACTAAAGTAGTAATTGAATTCTTTGGTTTAAAAAAAAAAACAACAGTAATTGAGTAACACAACTGATACGCTGGTAAACTTAGTCTATTTAATAAGGTATACTAAGAACTCATGAACACTCATTTACTTTTCCCTTGAATCGAAAGATAGATCGAGGGAAAATGTGGCCGACAAAAATATTATACCGTTTGGAGTGACCTCCAGCTCCAACATGGCAAAATAACGAGGTTATACCTAGTCCTGTCATAAATATGGTTACATGGAAATATATACAGATTTCAACAGAAAAATTTATTTTTTTTGAAAAACTTTATTAGAAAATAAAATGTATATCCATAGAGAGTAAAACAAAAACGAAATTACTCAAAATGTTCCCTTTTTTCCTTGACACAGGCATTTAATCTTCGTGGACAGTCATCAAGTCAGCACGCAGCACTTCTTGAGGAAAGCGCACAACTGCTCGGACCAGAGATTCGATAAAAAGGGGGCTGTTTAGAACCAGAGCAAACAACTGAACAGGAAAAAATTGGAGGGATATTCTGAGAATCATTTCATCCCATATAGATATTCACAACTTAATACAAAAAATAAACTAATTTTATATAAAACAGTAATCCGCCCTTTAATCACTTATTCTGCCCCAGTATGGAGTTATACATGCAAGACTAATTACAAAAAACTCGAAGTAATTCAAAATATGTGTATGAGAATCATAAACAACTATCCACGTTATACCAAAGTATCTATTATGCTAGCAGAATTACAGCTTCCCACAATAAAAAAATATATTTATTTTAAAACACACAGATTTTTTGAGCTTACACCAACGTCTGAAAACCCTATGATCCGAACAATAGGTAACTATGACAAAACATCTTTGAAACGGTATACACACAGACGGACTAAACACATACTACTAAACGTCTAAATCAATCAGTTGATTTGTGAAAATTTAACGGTTTCTTATCTATCGCCAAACAAGTAACAATAAACTCAATCACCCCAATCAACAAATTGTATTTATAGGATGTGTGTGTGTATGTATATATATGTGTGTGTGTGTTGTGTGAGTAAGTATTGTATGTGTAAATATATATATATATATATATATATATATATATATATATATATATATATATATATAGTTTCCTTTTGCACATAAATTATATTTAGTTTTTCTTGTACTTTTAATGATTGTAACCTATTTTTTTCATTTACATCTTATGTAGGTTTTTATGTGATTTTTCCTACTGTAAAAAATGAATATCAATTTTCTAAGTAGTATTCAAACCACCATTATGTCATGTGTAAGGTTAATGCAACCATAAACATGTAGCTTATCAGTATGACATGTTGTAATGTATATAATAATAAAAAAAAAAAAAAATTCATCCCAATATTTGAATCAAACTAAAATAACAACGAATATAAACAAATTTCCGTAAATTTATAGACGGGAGTAAGTTCGATGGTAGTATTCCAACAGTTTCAAACAAACTAATTAAGAAATATATCTGAACCAACCTTGGTTCCACTTTTTTTGTATTTATTTGTTGAATAATATAACATTCAGTCACTTGGACATTAATTCTAGAGAGCTAATATCACATTTATATAATATGTACAAAAAATACATAATTTTTTCTTCCTTTTCCAATCCCATTATAGAATCAGTGTTCACCAATAATGTTATTAGTATAACAAAAAAAAAAGTTTAGTTGTCATTAGTATAACAAAATTGTAAGTTATTAGTATATAAAATATAATATATGAGAAGGAATTAGTCGAGGGTGCGGTCAAATAAATAAAAAATTAAAATATATTAATTATTTTAATTTTTGCCGACGTTTCGACCCACTTTGCAGGTCGTCTTCAGGGCGTAGGATGTGGCACTGTAGAGTGTTTCAACTGCCTCCCGCAGTGCCACATCCTACGCCCTGAAGACGACCTGCAAAGTGGGTCGAAACTTCGGCAAAAATTAAAATAATTAATATATTTTAATTTTTTATTTATTTGACCGCACCGTCGACTAACTCCATATATTATATCAACAGTCAACCATCTCTACATCATTAAAAATATAATATTTTTTATAATATAATATAACAATATAATTTTAAAATATAATATAACAATAAAACAGTATAAATTGTTATTATATAGTATAAATTGTTATTAATACAGTAATATGTTAATATACTAATATAGTATAACTTGTTATTAGTATAACAAAATAACAAAGTTGTTATCAGTATAACAAAAAAGAAAAATGTTTTCCCTCATAGGCAAACACGTAGCTTCGAGGGCTACCACTAAACTAGACATGACATAAATTTAACATTGAAAGAAGTTGAACGAGAAGGGGACATCCAGACCTACTCCTAGATTTACCACATGGTCAACCATCATCACATTATAGCTCGCGGTACAGACCATCTTTTATCAAATTATTAACATCCGTCTAAAAGTGAATGGTTGCTTCTTATAATAACTTACAACTTTTTTATCAATGAAAATTCTCAGAAATGTTCAGTTTTCTCTAGGTTTAGAGGTAATAAAAACTCGTGAACACTCATTTACTTTTTATTTGAATCGTAAGATAATTATATCATAAAATCAGGAAAAAATGTGGCCTACAAAAATATTAGACAGTAAGGCGTAGTGTTGCCCAAATGCGAGACCGAGACGAGTCTTGGTCTTGCACACTTTGTCTTGGTCTTGCGCAAGAGTCTTGCAGTTACTTATTAGCTTATTACTATAGAGATATTACTGTAATTTTTTAAATAGGAGAAATCTAACTGAGCCCCAATGAAAAATTAGAGGAGTTAAATGCAAAAGTATATTAGTTATACCGATTATTAACAAATAGAAACTAAGATTGTCAAGTATTTGTAACTATTTTGCCTTAATTTTTATTTAAAAAATCGATTTTTTTTTACCTGTCCTGGTCTTGGTCTTGCAACAGTTAGGCGGCCTTGGTATTGGTCTTGCTATGTGCAATTTTGGGCAACACTAGTAAGGCGTAATCTCCAAAATGTCAAAAAAACTAGGATATATATACCAAACTGCCCAATATTTTTGTAGGCCACTTGTAATTGTATTACGATTCAAGTGGAAGCCAAATAGGTGTTCATGACTTCTAAATACGCCATTAAACAGACAAAGTTTACCGATCCCCAGATTGAAAACGCTCCATTTCGAAGAATATTCGTTGATAAATACGATAAGATAAAACGATTCACGAAGTTTTAGACGGATATTAATAATTTCAAGGGTTCTCTGCCGCGGACTATTAGTCAATATAAGTTAATTTAAAATCGGATAACTTAGAAAAATTACAAAGAAACTGTTTTTTATTATAAAATGAAAGTAAACATGGCGATTGTATCTAGGTAAAATATTTTTTAACAACGATATGGTCAATAATAACAAATCCAAGCTATTCGTGTGAGCACCATGTCATTAGATATATCTATTCGATAACAAAACGAACAGTAAATCCACTAATTACTCGATGAAATTGAGTGACTACATTAAAAAACTATAATTTTAAAGGTTAAGGTTAAAACTATAGCGTAAGGTTGTTATCCATCACTATGGCGACGCTTAGCAACGGCTTAGTTTACCATTGCAAGTTTTAGTGATAGTGACGGGACAGGTTTAGCAAAGAAGATGGAAACAGAGGCAGATGACACCGAGGTTTCGGCCTCGAACAGGGAAGAAGACTACAGCAGAGAGGAAATGGAACAGTCGAGGCCGGATATAGAAGAAGAAGAAGGTGGCGAAGAGGAAGCTTCCAGAATAGGTAAGTAACGTTCAAAATTCAGACAATATTAGAATGACTTAAACAAATAATGATTATAGAGTTTCTAGCTGCTTTAAATGTTTCAATTTAGGTATCTAGAGTCCACGATTACTATGAGTAGATTAAGGTTAAGTTGAAGGCGAGGTATATTTGTTATTTTTCTGTGACAAAACTACTTACGTCGCGTCTACAGCCTAGAAACTTAAAAATTAGAATCTACCAAAATATTATCCTATCAACAGTTTTTTTTTTTTTTTGCTGTGAAACATTGCCGCTTATGTTAAGGTATGAGCAACGTCTTAATGTTTTTTAAAATAAAGTATTATTATATTCGGACCGAAGAAGGATGAGTCAACCGGAGAATTTATACATGTAATTGAATAAAATTGTTGGAAATATCAACGAAAGAATTCCTAAATGATTAATAATGTACAAATTGGTTATTTGCAGCATACTTTTTTATCTTTTACAATTTAATCTAGTGCTTAATAGTTTTTTATTTTTTTTCTCAAAAATATGAAAATTTATTTTGAGTCTTTTATGAAGTAACCAATCAACTCAGATTATAAAAAGATATTTCAGTTTTATAAACAAATTAAGTAAATCTCTTTGCAAAATCTCTATCCAGCACCACCCATCCATATAATCCTCCAAGGAGGTTAAAACGGCAGTGGCCCCGCGATCTTTTATAGTTTGTAAATATTGGAGTTCTGGCAATGGCCAGATTCTCCACTCCCGACATGAGTGTATGTGGCTAAAGCACTCTTGCTCAATCTCCACTATAATTAACCCTAGTCCACTATAATTAGCCCTAGTGACGCGGTTGAGAGAGGAGTGCAGGGAATTCCTGGAGTCATACTTTTCCCTCCACAGTTGGAGGGACAAGTCTGGTAGAAACAAGATTTCTGTCGCCAAGTTGTAAATATTGTATGTAGGTGTGCATATGTTCTTTTTATTTATTTATTTTTAGGTTATTTTATTCTTATTTATTGTATATATATTATTTTTCTGTATAATTTATTTTATTTACTGTACATAGAGTGTGAATGTGATCTGTGAACACTATTATTAATGTCCCTGAGACAGATTGTAATATATTTCAATACAAAAAAAAAAAAAAAAAATCCGGTAAAGTGTCAGTAACAAATATGCTCTCAGAAATACGAAACCTTAGAAATAAGAATTAGTTATGTTTTTAATTATATATAGATTTTAATTTATAAACAGTTAAGTAAATATTTATTTTTATTCGATTCCAGAAGAGTAAAAAGAAAAAACTGAAGACTTTTCATTTAGTTTCATGATTATAGAACAATTACAAAACTTTTTAAATCTACATTCTAATGGGTGCAAAATTAAATAGATCATATAAATGATAAACTTGTATAACTTCATAATTTTGTGAAAAAAAATCAAAAACTATTAAGTACCAGGTAAAATTTTAAAAGATAAAAAGTATGCTGCAAATAACCAATTTGTACATCATTTATTTCAGGTTTTAGCAACATAATTATGAATAAATGTTCCTAAAAGATTAATATTTGCTGTGTCATAAATGTCCGACAGGTAGAACGAAGCGAAGGTGGGAAGATTGCGTTAAGGATTATTTAGTGGAGCAGGGTGTGGATGGGTGACTGGTGGAGAGAGGTGTGTATACAGCGATTGGTGGTGTCGGCATCGAACCTTCGGGTTCGCAGAGTCTTTTATCATTGTTATCAAATGATTCAAAGTATTTATAGGTTATTTATCGAATGGTCAGTTGAGTCTCAATTCTTAGTTTGACTTAGCCTCGGAAAGCGATTGAATGATAATGTTCACAAAATGTATGTACTACGTATTTAATAAAGTACAAATGATACAAACTAAAGTAAATAAAAACTATTTAAAATAAAAAATTGTCTTTTAACGTTTATTTAAGATTTACATGTCAATAAACCCCGTAGAATGTTCACCTTGGGCCAAGTATATCATGGTCACTGGCATAGCAATGATTCATTCATCAGTCCATCTCTATCTCCAGTCGTATACGAGAGCAGATACGACGCAAGCTGCACCACTAAATTTTTTGAGAGGGGGGCACATTTTGACGGGATTTTGAATTTTTGAGGGCACATTTCGATGGAGTTATGAAATTCCGGAATGGAATTTACAGTTGTATTACATGAAAAATACAACAAGTAAATGTGACATTGGTAACATGACATGTACAACATGAAGAGAAACTACCCATTGGTAGAATTCAAATTAAAGTTCTATATTAGAAGATCCCGGGACAATCTTCTTTTCAGACGCCTCGGAGGGTTATCAGGGATCGAGGAGAAAGCAAGGTTTGAAACGAGAAGGTTCGGATGGTTCTGCAGTTTGTTATGGAAGGATAGGTATCTGGATTGGGCCAAATCGGAAACATATGGAACATTAAGGTCTTTATGGATGATTTTATTTGTGACAAAGTAAGGAGCGTTGAGGATTTTACGAAGGATTTTGGATTGTAATAATTGGATACGAGAGGAATTCGATGGTTTACTAGAGCCCCAATGCTCAATTCCGTAAGTCCAAATAAGTCTTATTATTGTCATATATATGAGTCATTTGCAATTGATTGAAAGCTTAGAGCGTTTGTCGGAGTGTTGGAGTAGTCGGAAACGTCGAGCGGTTTTTAGTCGTTTCAGTCTGATATGGGGGTGTTACAAATGTCATCTTCACATACAGAGTAATACTATGAATATATGGGTTGACTACAAGAGTTCACTCCAGGTCTCCTACAAGAGTGTGACTTCAATAATGTAACTGCATGAATGATTAGTCTAGAGGAGCATGGGGTTTATATACCCAAGAATAGCAAGGAGGTGAAGTGAAGTCGGAAGAGGACGGCAAAGGAAGTTATCGATAGTTAATATTCTTAAGATGAAGTCTGTGAGAAAGTGCCCTTTTGCTCAAATCTGTTATTGTTCCCTAAGTCTTGATAATGTGTCTTATTGTGTCCAGTCGGTACATTTTAGATAACTATTTCTAAGCTATCAGAGATAGTTTGACCTAGGGATAGCTTTGTGATTTTTGTCCTTTGAGTTATGAGAAGTGTAAATACAAAACATTGGCATATTTAACAAATTCAATCATTAAAATAAAAGTTAAATTAATATATACATAGGACTCCACCTGGACAAAATCTAACTTGGAATCCTCATACCAGACTGAAACGACAAGAAATAGCTCGACGTTTCCAACTACTCCAGCACTTACTAGACAAACGCTCTAACCTTCCAATTAATTACAAAAGACTCATTTACATGACTATAATAAGGCCTATTTGGACTTACGGAGTTAAGCTATGGGGCTCCACCAAACTCTTATCCAGTCCTTACAATCCAAAATCCTTCGTAAAATCCTCAATGCTCCTTACTTTGTTACAAATAAAATCAGCCACAATGACCTTAATGATCCTTATGTCTATTCTTCCATAATAAACTTCATAACCATCCCAACCCTCTCGTTTCTAACCTTGCTGCTTCCTATTCAATTCCTGATAACCCTCCGAGGCGTCTGAAAAGAAGATGGCCACGTGATTTCTTAATATCGAAATATTATTATAGTACTACCAATGGGTAGTTTCTCAACATGTGTTCTATGTCATTATATCCATGTGCGAATTTACTAGATGTATTTTTTTTTTTTTTATACAGTTGTAAATATCATATAAATAAAAAAAATATTATTATTATTTGTTAGGGATTAAGTCCATTCCGTAACTGATGACCATATCAAAATTAGTCCATCGATATTCCACCTCTAGAGAGAAGAGAGCGCAATGAGGCCAGAACGTTAGTTAGCGCGGATACCACTGCACAAGTGTCACTCCAATTTGAAGAGTGGGCCAAGATCCTATGATCACGTTATGTGCCTAAGATTGACGAAGAAAATAGACCCAGATGGGAACCACAGACTCGGGATACATCCTCTCGGCAGACAACTTCAGACACCAGTCGAGAGCTTTGAACTGCGCGAGACGTGAAGTTGAGCGGTGACACAATGCAGAGGCGACTTGCCCAAGTTCACCTTCAGACGAGGACCCTACTACCGGAGTTCATTCAACTCCCTCACCGCATCTCGGCCGTTCCGTCTTGGAGTCGTTCACGAACACGCTCCTTTACCAGAGTACTATTGGCCCACGAGTAATGTTTTCAGCCGATTACGGATTGACATCATTCATTTTACATGGCCGGTTGTGGGAAAGGAAAGGATTGCCTGTATATTTAGTTACTTTAGTAGACGGTTTTTCAAGGGCACTTAATATACTTATTAATTGTGTTTCTAAGGATATATAAAAAAAAATCTGGTGCGGTGCGCGCATCACACAACTTTCACTTACTCTTCTTAGCACAAATAAGTATTTTCAGACAAAGGAAAAGTGAAAGTAAAAATTATAGACACTATAATTATTTATTGAATATTTAATAGTTGACTGTTGTATTATAAAGAAAGGAGATAGTCCGGGGTTGCGGTCATAAATAGGCTAAATAGTGGTAAAACTATTTTATTGAAAGCCGACGAACTCAGTTCTAAGTGAAACTCCTAGATGAACACACCTCCCTGATGAAGACCTGCAAAGTCGGGTCGAAACGTCGGCTTTCAATAAAATAGTTTTACCACTATTTAGCCTATTTATGACCGCAACCCCGGACCATCTCCTTCCTTTAAAATTATTTATATTTAATTGTGGGTATTTTTATTTTTAAAAATATCTTTATATATACAAATTTTAATATTTTTATCGGTGTAATCTATACAATTCATTATTAAATAATACCAACAATAGCATATATGAAAACCGTATATGTATATTTATATAATAATGTCGGAGTCCATATTATATTAAGCTCATGTTGTATGGAAGCCTGTTATAATCTTTCTGACGAGCTCAGGTGAGATCAATTACAACTATTCTCCGTTACGATTTTTTATTTCTCCTTTAGTTAATTATCAAATTATTTCATATTTTATAT